TATATAAAATGTCTTCAGACTTCATACGAAGTAAAACCATCATAGGTAATAAACGTGAATCTGAATCCGTCTGTTTGTGACGTCCCTCTCCAGGAACCTCCGGGGACACGGGCGGCTCGGCCATCCACAGCGCTAAAGGTCTGTCAGGTCTGGACGTGGTGGTGGTTTATCCTCAGGGACGCATCACCCCCGTCCAAGAGAAACACATGATCACCTGCCTGGAGGACAACGTCCACGTGTTTGCAGGTAAACTGAAGGAATCCAAAATAAAAACGGGGCTGTGTTAATAAAACCTTTTATTCCTGTGACGTATTTTTTCGACTAAGATCTCGGGACACCCAGTGGCAGAAGGTTTTCACGTTTCTGTCCGTCCCCTTTGAGACAAGTCACTGACCTCACAGGAAAAATCACAGAAACTGAACTTGGTGGAGACAAAGGAAGGGAACAGGAAGTGGATTCTAGTCTTTCACTGTCTCGTCTCTGCAGCCAGCGGCAGCTCTGATGACATCGACCAGCCTTTGCGGCGTCTGTTTGCCGATCAGGAGCTTGTCAAGTCTCACGGGGTCATGAGCCTCAACTCGGTGAACTGGTCGAGAGTCATGATCCAGCTCGCCCACTTCATCTACGCCTACCTGGAGCTGAGCGGAGCGGAGCAGAGCGAGGCCGGCGCTGCTCTGCCCGAGCTGGAGGTGGTGGTGCCCACAGGTGGAGCCGGAAACATCGCCGGTGAGTTGAACACACACAGAATGTCTGACTCTCAGTACTGCAGGTTTAGGGTTCGATGCCGACATGTCTCCACCAGCACTCAGATGGACTGCTCACAGTGACAGTGAACCTGAGGAGAACCCTGATGGCAGCGTCGTCTGACTCAACGACAACCAATATCTGACACAGGGAGTTTTTTCTCTCTGTCGTCAGAGCTGCTAAAAAAAAATACAACCAAATATATTGAACTTGAATTAAACACAGATACTGAGACGTCTGTGAAAAGATATCGGCAAACCACTGATCAGACGGACTCTAATTATAATAACGTTGTGCTTCTGCAGCTAACGTCTCCGTTCACAAACCAGTTATTTCATGGGTTCAAATCTAGTGTTGAATCTCAGGGTCTGTTTAAAAGGAACATTTTAATATTCTTACTTCTAACAAAAGCTCCACCTGCTGCAGGAAAATGATTCAAATCACAAAAACCAGAGTAGAATCTTTGACTGATCAATTAGCTCATAGAAAACCTTCTTCTCACATTTGAGATTACTGTAAATAAAACCAGCCTTTAAATCAAAATTCATTTATTTACATTTTTACAAATGAAACGGTCACAAACAAAAAACCTCCAGTTTCAAGTTCTGGACATTTAAAAGGACAGTTAGTGTTTTTTTAAAGCGGTGATTTTTTCTACTTTAAGTATCCGTCGGTACGTCTGAGTCTTCTGCTTCCTGTCCTGATTCGAGGACGGCGTGCACGTAGTGGACGACGGCACAGTAGATGTCTGCACCGAAACACAGCGAAGGAGCAGTGGGATTGAAAAATTGATGAAGTCTTTCTAGTTCGTCGATGTCGAGGGGAGATTCCACCTCAGGAACATACTCTGCAGTTTTGTTCATATCTGTAAATTCCACATCTGGAAAATGGGCCGCCTGAATAAAAATAAAAACACGTTAGAAACAGACGTTAGCGTCTTTATTTCCTAAAAAGTTTAAGTAAATGAAAAAAAGACTTTGTTTGTAGAATATTTCTTTTACTTTGACGTCGTCCGCAGCAGTGACAGAGTTCGGACTGTCCCCTGCTTCCTGCAGCTGCTGGTCGGTGAGGTTCTCTTCTGTGTGGAGTAAACGATCATTCCATTCCTCGGTGAAAGCGTCCAGGTCTTTCTGAATTCGGGACAAAAAGACAAACAGAGCACAGAAAAGGTGCGTAGAGTTCTCTGGGTCGAGCAGGTCGTCCTCCTCGAGGCTGTGGAGCAAATCGTAATAATTACTGGACACGCCGTTCCACACGTCACGCCACACGCCGTCTATCCTGAAAGACAAAAAACTAAACATTAGAAGAAGCATCTGTAAAACCTCCAGAAAGTATTCTGCGCTCTAACTTCCTCTCTGTGACTTTACATTCTGACAGCTGAGTGGAGCTTTAACCCTCTGAGAACAGACGCCCCCTGCTGGCAGCCTGTAACTGCCCCAAGATTGTTTTTGAACCAGTACTTTTACCATTTATTGTAGTTTTTGACTCACGGAACCTTTTAGCTGAGGTGGTACAGATTTTAAAGACAAACTGTTGTTACCTTTCGTTTTGATCTCTCCTCCCTGACGTGAAGCTTCCTCTGCCACGACCAGCGACTTGATACATGAGTCTGGCGATGTCTGTATTTTCCACACTTTTTTCTCCTCGGACTCTTGATGGTGAAACAACAGACTCAGTTTCACAAATGACCAGTAAATGTGGAATCCAACACCGGACTCTTCATATTTCCTACTGATCCCATGTTCACATGGAAACTGCACACACAGGAAACAGTTACCTGGATGGAAGACCGTGTCTGTCAACAGCCTCCAGGAAAACCTTCAGAGCCGTCGAGGGCTTGTTGTTATTGGCGGCTTGTAGGTACAGGATCTGAGTGTGTTTACAGAGATTTAACAAGTCGTTACCTCAGAAACACAAAGTCTAAAAAACCTGCTGATGAATGAAATACTCATTCAACGTGACACAGACGGTCTCTGACCTTTCTTGAAAATCCATCGATTCCACCGAACAATATGATTCCATACCTGCAAAATACAATTCATTAAGGAAACGTGAATGACTTGTCTGAGGAGCAGACTCTACACAGTTTCTAACATCAGTGACGCTAACATCCTGAAAACATGTCACATGACCACTGGTCATGTGACGTAAACAGGAAGTAGGTGGTCTCTGCAGTTGGTTGCTTAGCAACAGAAACTCCTCTGAAGGAGGAGCAGTGATGGAGAAAAGTTTGCGTTGGTCCGGAGTAAAACCTCTCCGAACTCTGAGCACAGGAACCTTTCAGCTGATGTGGCGTCAGCTCACCTCTTCAACTTGTGGCTGGTGTTGACGTGAACGAGTGAGAGTGGAGCTGGATCACACCCGAGCTCCGTTGGTCTCTCACATGTTCCCGGGTTTCGAACACGATGCAGCGACTCACACACTCGGCTCATCTGAACTCTGTGACCTAAAGCCTTCAGACGTTCCTTCATCATCTTTTGTCCTGTGGCAAGATAACGAGGAGAAGACTGTGAAACCCTTTCTCACAATTAATGATAGAAACTATTTAAAACTACTCAAATGTTCATTGATGAATCAGTCTTCTAATCGTGACGCAGCCTCGGTGAAAACAAATGAGCTTCACAGAAAATCTCACTAACCCAGATTTGGTGAATCTGCCTTGATCGCAGAGACCAAACTGTCCAGCTCGTCATCGGTGATTTTGCTGCAGCTCTCCTTTATCGTGAGGCCCCACTGCTGCATCCTGCGACGCACCGTCTGGTTGGATATGCCGAGCATTTTGGATATACAGGGGACGGAGAGCTCCATTTCAATCAAGTCCTCCAGGTGGTCCCTGGAGACGACCAGCTTTGGACGCCCCGACACTTTCCTCCCGTCCACGATGATGGTGAACGACTTGAGACGACTCCCACCTGCCTGAGTCAAAGAGTGTTTGTCACCGAAGCTTCTCAGCTTCAGCAAATATGAGAATAAACCTCTGAGCTGTGAAACGACAGGATCCAACTTCAAGAGGAAAATTAAACGTCGTAATGAACCGAATCAATCTTTAAATAAGTGTTTCATTCTTCACATACATGAACCTTTATTAACACATTCACATGTTCATCAGAGAACAGGAGAGTCTCCATCCTGTTTAAAAGATTCATTATATTCCACTGCTCTTTGTTTACACTTCTCACTTCCTGAACCAATATGGCGGCGACGTTGACGTACGATCAACCGGCGCGATGACGTAAAGAAGCGTCGACTGAAGCTGAGCGAGCAGCTACACGTTGTGACGACACGAGTTACTACAATAATACTGCTGAGTACTGCTGAGTACTGCTGAGTACTGCAGTAACTCCTGCACGCTCTCTGACCTGATGCCCAGGGGACGTTAGGGGGCGCTCCACAGGAACAACATGGAGGAGACGCGGGTCCGCTCACTACACCTGGACGATATTTAAATTACCCATGATTCACTACCTGCGACCCTTCGCTGTAGGATGACGTCACGCCTGAATCCACTGAAACGCGCTGCACGTCACTCGATCTGAAAACAAACCTGAGTCTCTGCAGGAGCCTCCACTTCCTCCATGTTGGTCAGACACTTCCGGGTCCCGCAGCGATCCTCTCCCCCATTGGACACTGTGACCTCCTCTGATTGGACGATCAGAGACACGCGCGCTGATTGGCTCAGGCGTGAACACAGGGTCAACCCTCCAGCTGCGGTTTTTATTCCTCTGTCTTTCTAATCTTCATCTCATCTTCATCTCATCTTCATCTCATCTTCATCTCATCTTCATCTCATCTTCATCTAATCCTCATCTCATCTTCATCTTCATCTCATCTTCATCTAATCTTCATCTCATCTTCATCTCATCTTCATCTAATCTTCATCTCATCTTCATCTAATCTTCATCTCATCTTCATCTCATCCTCATCTCATCTTCATCTCATCTTCATCTCATCCTCTGACCAACTGTTTTAATCAGAGTATTACTTTGTTCATCTGCAACATTCATATTTGTAGATTTCTGTTCTAATGTCATTTGATCTTATTGTTAACACTAATAACCAATATAACCTTTTAACAAGGCTCAAAGACAAGAAGCAGATAAAAACGAAGAAGTATAAAACACACGTCATGGTCAAACAAAACCTTTAATTCTTCATTTTCATCACGTGTTTCAATGGGTTCATGGAAATACAGGTCATTATATTATTATCATCATTTTCTCTTATTTTCCCTTTTCTTTTTTTATATCTGTGAACAAAACACGTTTTTCTTTAAAAGCACAAAATATTTCTAGAGCTGCAGAACTTTATTTTTGTCTCTTTAACTAGAGACGTATTATGTTTCTCTCAGTGTGAAGTGAACTGATAATAAACTGTCTCTTCTTCTTCTCTCTGTCTGCGTCTCAGCCGGATTCATCGTCAAGCGAATGGGAGTACCCCTGAAGCTGGTTGCCATGGTGAATTCTAATGACGTTGTTCACAGGGCCGTAACAGCGGGCGACTTTTCCATGGCAGCTAATGTCACACAAACACTGGCCCCCGCCATAGACATCCAGGTACTGAAGTTCCACAGTTCAACACACTGGACGACTACAACTGTGACGATCGCTGAGACTTTTCAAGTGAACAAAATAATAATTCAGCTTTTTGTGAAATAAGCTCAGATGTTCAGCTTCATCTCGTTCTCATGTCTGTGTGAGATGAGCTGAACATATGAATCTAAAGCTCAATAATTAACTTTGTGTTTAATCTGTGCACAAATTTTAAGTTGAATTAAAATGGCAGCCCCAGTGGTTCTCTTGTATCTTGCATCATGTCTCTGGATCTGCTCTGTCTGACGTAGTTTTTTCTTCTGTAGGATCCGTACAACATGGAGCGGGTGTTTTGGCTTCTGTTGGACAGAGACGGAGCCTCAGTGAAGAACATGATGGAAGAATTTCAGAATACTCATAAATACTCTCTTCCTGAAAACCATCGCAAGCTGGTATCGATCCTTCAACATTTCCTGCTCCAAACGTACAGCGTGGTTTTGTGTCTTCACCTCCGACCATCCTCACACTGTCCTGTTCTGTCCACCTGGTTATTTCCAGCTGTCGCAGGTTTTATCGACTGGAACAGTGACTGATGACGGGATCCTGGAGACCATGAGGAGATGTTGGGATGAGAACCAGTACGTCCTGTGTCCTCACTCCGCTGTGGCTGTTTGGCATCACTACCACTGTCCCCCTGTCCCTGGAATCAACAGGTCAGACCCACATACACACAAAATGAGCTCAAGCTGAGCTTTGAGCTAAATGCTAATGTAGCATGTCAACGTGCGCACAGCTTTCACCATGGTAACCGTCTTAGTTTAGCCAATCATAGACCTGTCCTCTTCTTCTCTCCAGTCCTAGACGTCATTCTCAATCTTTTATTGCAGGTGTTACATCGCGACAGCGTCTCCAGCCAAGTTCCAGGCCGCGGTGCAGCGGGCCGGCCTGACCTTTGACCTACCTGAGGCGGTGCAGGCGTTGGACGGGTTACCAACTCGGTTTCAGATCCTGGAGCGGAGTCCGGACTGGTGCAGAGACTGGGAGGAGACACTGAGGGAGAAGATCCAGTCTGTGAGCTGCTCCAGTAAAAACAGAAGGATGTGAAGAATGTGATGATAGCGTAGATTTACTGCAGGAACACGAGTCTGTGGCTGAGCTCAGGTGCTTCTCATCTATGTTCCTTCTTATCTGGATCCAGTAAAAGATGATCAAGGCCTGTTGTTGTCTCTTTGTTGGACTTTGGTTTGATGAGTTCTCACAACCTCAAACACATTAGTTCAGTTACATCATAAACCACAAACCGCTCAGCATCGTCCTCCCACGACTTTATTACCAGTGTAAATGTTGCTCAAGCTTCTTACGACAGGTGACCACAGTGAAGGACATGTGGACACTGATAATCATTGACTTCTGACTGAGACATAATTAACCACAAGGTTAACATGAAACTGTCTGTGTCCCGTGTCACTGGATATTACCCATGATCCTCTGCTTCCTCAACCACCAAGCTGTTCAGAGTTCTTCATGTTTTAAAGTTTCTGCTGAACATTGGAGATAAACTCTGGTTGTTAAGAACTGATCTCAGTTCAGCTTCACTCTTCCACTGGAGCTGATGGAGACTCTCAGTCACTTGTTCTCTCAGGAGATGAACCCACTCAGCAGAGTGAGAGAACAGACGCTCAGGGAGCGAAGGAGGAAACGTTCTCCACCTTCACACATCAGACTCACTTTAATCAAGCTGCTGGTTTAAAGGTGCAGTGCGTAGTATTTAGTGACATCTAGTGGTGAAGTGTCATGTTGCAGCTGAACACCCCTCCCCCTCTCCTTCCAAACATGAAGAAGAACCTGTGGAAGCTTCAGTCGTCATAAAAACTCAAAAGGTTTTAGTTTGTTCAGTCTGGACTAATGTTAAAAACATGGCGGCCTCCATAGAGAGGGTCCCCTCCATGTAAATATAAAGTATTTAAATTTAAAGGACCTTTTCTGGGGTAAAGAAAACTACAATTCATATAACTTAGATGAAACAAACTCGTGAAAACATCATGAGAATTATTCTACATTAGATTTCTGCCGATAGATCCTCTCACCTGAATCTGACTCACTGGAGCTTTAAGGTAGAAAAGTTTCATCATGTTGATTTAAAGTTCAAAACTAATCGATTCATCCATAGGCGTTGGCTGTGAGGGCGGAGCCAAGCACGTGAGCAACAGGAACGACTTCATTAATTAGACGCGTCACAGAGTTTATAATAATTCAAAATATAATAACTATAACGTTGAGCCTTTAATTTAAATTTACTGTAGTTTGAAGTGTGAAGGAGATAATGTGACCCCTCGTGATTATATTGTTTATTAAACATGGAGGTTTATAGTCAATACTGCAGTCAGCCACCAGGGGTCAGTAGAGACGATCGGGCTTTTTCTGAGGGTCCCTGAATGTAACACGAGCTTTGACAGCTCGGTAACAAACATGGCGGCTCTCCGCTGAAGCTGCGTCTCTGCTCCGTCAGCAGCCAGGAAGAACCGGGAGGAACCGGGAGGAACCGGGAGGAACCGAGAGGAACCGGGAGGAACCGGGAAG